ATAGACTCTTTACGAAGTAGTGCCGAAACCTGCACCGCACAATCCTGTTTTACACAAGCTTCCATTGAGCAAGTGACTTCAACCATCTCCAAACCTTCTGGTGCTGGTGATGGTGATGGTGACGGTGATGGTGGCAATGACGAAGCTACAGATTCAAATTACAATTGTATAAAGCCACAAAGATGGATTTCTTTATAAATGTAATAAATTACTCTAACAAAAGGACTGCAGATTATGAGAAAAGGAGGTTAAAGACTTAAAAACAGGTACAACACAGTGACAGTTAAGACAACATTTAAATTGAGTAAGTGTTAGTGGGACTCTATTTAAATGTCTAAAAACTACTATAAAACCAGTCACCTTGTTGGCGCACAGAGACGTGGACTTTGTCGTCAGTGGCCTCACAGCGGTTTAAATCTGATTTCAAGATCTGGTCAGGAGAAGGAGCAATGATAATTTCTCTTTCTCTGTCTCTCTGCTCTTCACAAATTTGGTTTAGTTTTTGGAGGAGTAGTTGCTGTTGCTGTTGTTGCTGTTGTTCATCGTCTTTAAACCAGCAAATGGAAACTGCCGAGTCGGGAACCTCACATTCCAACTCCAGAGGTGCGACCGCTTCTAGAGACCTCCGCTGCTCAAAGACTGTGGGCGCGGGGAGGGCTAGCATTGGGACATTTAAAACAACTTCAGAAAACCAAGAATTACTCACATGTTACTAACTATTTCCAATTCAATTAAAAGATTAAGATAGAAGTCACAGACTGAACGGAACATTTAAACGAAACGTGAAGCAGTGTGTGTTAGTTGCGTCTAAACAGAAAAGGTTATTACATTTATACATACAAATTTAACATAAGAAATTAGGGCTGTTTTATACAAAAGAGCACGAACATGATATTTGGGTCAAAACTGAAACCACTATTACTTGACAAAAGTATTTATCTTGAGTCAAAATGAACATGTAGATTGAAAATAGACATATTGATACTTTGCAGATGATGTCATGAACCTTCTCTGGTGGTGTGATGCTAACTGGAGGCATGTTCTGTCTGAAACTCTGTTAGACTTCAGTATTATGAGCTTTTGTTTCAGTTACTCTCACCTTTTTGTTGAAAATCAAACTCCTAAACAGAACCATGAACGCTCGTATTGATCACAGGCTCCTGAAAATGTGCTGTTTAAATCCATTTTGTACTTTTTTTTGTTTGTTTTTGTTTTGTTTTTGACTTTTCATGTTTTTGCTAATGTGTCACCATGGTAACTGTTGAACATTCTGCCATGCAAATACATGCTGAACACCCCCAACATGATGTCACTGCAAAGTATCAATTACTTATTTCTTTTAAGTTAAGTTTTGTGAATCATGTTTTAAAACCACTGATTAGAGAGTGGCTCATTCAGAAGAGAATTTAAGAAACACTTTTTTTGTGGTACATAATAAAAAAAAAAAAAGGATTATTATTGTAGTACTGATTGAATAAATGATTCTAAAACCTAATTAAAGCTGAACTATGTAACTTTTCTTTTGGGAGGGTCCACCGACTGTCTTCATGAAGATGTTATTGCTTTGCCTGAAATGTTCCACAGTATGGCATTATACTTGCCTATCTACTTATAGATGGCATGTGACGCCACCTCACAGTAAGATGTTTCTTTTTTTCAAGCTAAATCTCAAACCAAATAAATGATATGAAAAGACAGATCAGTTTACCACCATACTAAGGAACATTCTAGAGCAGACCTGGGCATTGTCCAGCCCCCGGGCCACTTATGCACCTTTAGTCGACTTTGACTGACCCATTTAAGCTCATTTGGAAAAACAAAATAAACATATTTTATCTCATGCATGAACTAAAGCTGCATTACTTTTACATTGCAGGGTTCTTTTTTTAATGACATTTTTTGTTGGGCAGTCTCACTTTTTCATTGTTTAGTCAGAACATAAATTCTTCCCAGTCTGAGCAGCTCCTCACAACAAGGATATTTATGCTTTTTATAAAGAAATACAATTCATTTTATGTAGAACTGAATTAACTATTTTGGCCTCTACAATATTTTCTGTTTCTCGTGTGGCTCCATGGAAAAAACAATTGCCCATCCGTGATCTAGACAAAGTTTTAACATCACCATGGAGAGAAGGAGCTGAAAGTTACACAGTACACCTTTAACGCTGAGCTGCACAGCCCTAACATGTGTAAATATTTCACCTTGGACGTCGACGGTGAACTCCAGCGTATCGTCGGCCGTGGTGCAGGAGTAGAGCCCTGAGTGGCACATCTCTGCAGACTGCACACACAGCGCCCGTTTGCTGCCTTCGGCCCAGATCTGGCAACCCGAGTCGGGCCCGAGCTCCGTGTCATCGTGGTACCACCGCACGGGGGCCTGGGGGTCTGACACTGAACACTGCAGCTCTACGGCACTGCCCACCGGGACGGAGAGAGAGCGGGCGTCCTCTGACATGGGCTCAAACACCACGGCCGGAGCTACGGATACACTACCAGTCACAAGTTTGGACACACTTTTTCATTTTTGCTCTTTATTTTCATGATTATTTACATTGTAGATTATATTATATACTTTTATATTCACTCTTTGCTTTGATCACTGCTTTGCACTTTTTTATTTTGCATTGCTACCATTTCCAGAGCCTGATCAGAATGTCTAATTTGCTTGTAAACCAAATGAGAAGGTGTGTCCAAACTTTTGGCTGGTAGTGAACGATGAGACCAACAAAGAGTCAACATAACATCAGAACACACAAGCTTTAAGTGCAATAAAGAGCACTTGATTAAGAGTAAAGCCAAGAAAGTACCCAAGAAGCGAAAATGGCGAAAGATTTGTTAGAGATGATTAATGTTGTGACAATACTAAAATTCAATCTCCATACTAAGGAACAGACTCGATACTCAATAACAATTCTGATAAGACGATGACAATAACAGTAATAATGATTTTCAACATTAAATGGTCGAACTTTCTTTTCTATTCCCAAGTGTCCTTATATGTGTGTGATCCCTCAGTGGTCCATGTGTGTGTACTAGTCTATGTGATCTTCTACTTGTTCTGATACAGTTACACATCATTCTAAAGACATTCAATAAACGTTCATTTCTGTCCTGTGTATGCGACTTTTTTAGTATTGATACCTACATGAGTTGAGTATCTAGTTTTGATACTAGTTTTATTGTCAATTAGTATCTGATTTTTGATTCTTTTGATAACCCTAGTAGGGAAACTGCCGTAGGTACAGTGTAACAGTACTCTACTTACTTATTGGAGTAAAAGTTGTGCTTCCTTTTCCCACTGTGAGTGAGTCTAAAGTGACAAAAGTTTTATGTTGACAGTATGAAATGATTTAAAAATGTGTGTTTCCTGCTCCAGTCCTTCAGATATGATTTGTTTAGTTTAGTTTTAGTATTTAGGTGTTTGCCCTTTTAAAGTTTTGTCCTTCCAATTATACTAACTTCAAATTATAAATAAAATGTTACATCCAGGCAGTTACTCTTACTTCAGTAATAATTACTTTTTTTTTTACTCTGACTAAGTTATCCATTCATCTTTCATACTCTTCATGGTAGGATACTTCTTTATCCAGAGCCACAGCTGCCTTGGGGCCAGCTGACTCAAAGAGTGGCAGCTAATACCACATCACCATTCATACATAAACAATACAGCCACCACAAATAGGGCACCACATGACGTGATACATGTAAGTAAGATACTAACAGAACATTCAAAGAATTTAACCAAAAGAGTTATTAAAAGCATTTGATTAAAAGAAAGCCAAGAAATGGCCCAAGAAAAGCGTGGTAAGATGTTGTTAGTGTGTAGCTGGTAAAAGACTTCACCTGTGACGTCCACATTGAAGCTGATGGAGTCTCCTTTGGTTTTGCAGCAGTACAGCCCAGAGTGGTACATTTCTGCAGAGTGAATGAGCAGCGTTCGGACCCTCCCCTCCGACAGAACCTCCAGTCCGCTCTGTGGAGGGACCTTGGAGCCGTCCTTGTACCACTGCACCTGCGCTGACGCCTCTGACACCTCACAGTGTAAAAGAAGAGGCTGACCACAGTGAACGCTTTTGTTCCTCTCAGCCTCTGCCATGGCTGAAAACCTCACGGGCGGAGCTACAGGTAAGTGGAGTTTCATTTAAAATGTGTTCTCTGAACCAGAAAATCAAGAAAAGATTAAAGCCGAACTGAGTAACTTTTTGTGTATGAATGGCGTGTCTTGCATTGCCCCTTGTTGGGCATCTCTTATACAAAACACAACACAAGTATGAACCACAGACCATGAGTCTAGGGGCACATACCGAGCTGGCACGCCTCGCTCACACTGCCCCTTGTCCAGCTGTGGTCAGACCCGTGTAGTTGTGGCATTAACACTTAGAATGGTGTTGTGCTGTTTTTGCAGCCACACACACCACACCACGTGTTCACATTATAACTATTTATTTATAACATTTATTAAGTGAAAAGGCTGTGGTTGGGTCCAGCGTCCAGCCAAAATACACTCCCACTGGAAAGAATCTAGAGCACCTCCAGCGGCACCACCAGAGCTGCACCAGAGCTGCTCAGGAGCTGCAGTCTGAGCCCAGGTTTAGAACTGGACACTTTGTGAATCAGTTACATTTTCCAACAGACATGAGTTAAAAGAAGTGACAAAGACGCCTCAAACAGCAACATGTGAATCCTGGGTTAGGTCATGAAGTCATGAAGATACAATATAATCACAAGAGAATTTCTCAACATGGACAACTTCAGCGAGTCCAGGACCAGGACTAATCTGGAATAATCCAGAATAACAAGACTCAGCAAGACTTACTATAGTGGTTTACCATCAATAAAATCTCAGAGATACACGGGGCTCTCCAGAGGAAGAATAGTAAAAAGTTACTCAGCTCTGCTTTAACACCAAACAGCTGCTCACACATACTGATGATGATGATTTAAATATGATGTAAATATGGATGATTTGTCCATAAAACCATCATGAACATTCCTTACCTTCTACTTCTACGTTGAACCGGATGACGTCATCGATGGCATCACAGCAGTAAACACCTGAGTGAGAGAACTCTGCTGATTGGATGACGATGCGTCTCATGGTGCCCTCAGACTGGATGTGTAGCCCCTCCGTGGTCTGTAGTTCGACTCCGTTCTTGTACCAGTGCACCGGGGCTGCGGGGTCGGACAGCTCACAGTATAAAACGATAGGATTCCCCATCTCCACAAACTTGTTTCTGTCCATCTCAGACAGAGGGGAGAACTTCACCAGAGGAGCTGTGGGACAGTTCAGAATAACAGAGGAAATTAGCTCACTGTTGGCATCACTACTTCCTGTTCAGTTTTTTGTCATTAAATATAAACTCTCAGAGTTCAGGCAGTGGAGAGAGCAAATAACATAATACAAGAACTTAACTATGAACATTTGAATAAAAAATCTAAACGTTAGGAAGTTATATATAAAAAAAAAAAAAAAGAAGCCTTGTTTGTTTTTTTTAAGAATGTTTTTTTTGGAAATGCTAGGCTGTCCTTAACATCCTCTTTTCTTTCTATGAGTTTTCCTTTTACAAAGTGACAGATGTGAGTCAGTTCCTTGTACCTTGTATGTACAGGGCAGCAGAGTCTCTGATTCCGTAGGCGATAAACGTGATCTCTGCTCCGTTGTCCGTGTCTCGTACTCCGCGTATCCGCAGGGACTGGTGCGTCCGGGTTCGTCTCATGGAAAACCGCTCGTCCTCCTGGATCTGAGTCCCGTTTAAGAACCAGGTCCCGATGACTGAGGCGGTGAGCTCGATGGAGAAGATTGCGTCCTGTCCCTCAGGAACCAGAGCGTCCTGAAGAGGAGCCTGTATCCGGGCCACCGGCACTGAGGACGAACAGGGACAAGGGACGGGGAATTAAAATTTCAGATTCTAAAATATGGTGATAGCTTAGCTAGCTATGCAAGCTAACAAAATAACATTCAAAACATGTGAATTTAAAAGAAAATGTAAAGTTCTCATTTTGTACCAATCTTGGTAGAAAATGTTCTAAATTTATTTATTTATTTATTTTTTTTTTATTAAAATGTTTTAGTTTTGTGCACTTCCTCCTTAAGCTCCACAGTGACTGCCGCCTCTCATTCCAGAAGTCAATTCAATACATTTTCGCCGTAGGAAAGAACTGTTAGAAGTTTGAAAGCTCAGTGGTAATCATGTAAGTTAGAATTTTTTGAAAGTCTATGGGAAAAATTAATGGAATCAGAACCAGAATCAGAGTGGACTTCGACGTGGGCGGGACAGTGGAGCTCCACACAGTGCAGTCCATCTGTGTAATATTTCTTATTTGGAACAAAACCAACAACAACTGTTTTACATACCTAAATGACCAGTGTTATTTTACTTAAACCTTACCCAGGTGCACGGTGCGGGGGAACTCCACGTTGTTACTCTTGCCGTACTTGTTGACGCTGCAGATCCTGAAGCGGTAGTCGGCCTCACAGGGAACACTGTCTCCCAGGATCTCCACAGACGTGGCCGAGTCGGTGGTCAAACACTGGAGCCACTCCTGAGAACCCGTGCCCACTTCCTGACGCTCCAGGACGTATCCGGACGGAGGGTTTTTCCTGGAGTCCTGAGCGGGGATCCAGGAGAGCAGAGCAGCGTTGGCCCGCTCCGTGTTGATCTGAACCCCTACAGGAGCACTGGGCGGGCAGTGACGGGCCGCTGCAGCACAGGGACAGGCACAGAGGGACAGTCACTGCTTAAAAGATGTACTGTGTAACTTTTCTGGTGGACAGTATGCCACCGTTTGTCTCCATTTTTAAGGTATATAATAAAGAAATAAGCTATTGTAATTGATCAAATGTAAAATGGATATATTTACACACCACAGAGACAAGCAGAAGTTATACAGTCCACCATTAAGTCCGACAGTGAAAGAGCTGCAAAATCACCCACTACAATATAAAAATATCACTTTCATGCATGTGTGTGAAAGAGCTCAACGTGCACATTTATCCTTCTGAAAGGCTCACTGAAAACAATCAAGAAAACACGGAACATCACGATGAATACTTGGATCTGACTGGTCGAGTCACAACAGCAGAAAATCTAACTTTTGTGACATCCAGTTGGGAGAAAAGCACAGACATCTTGCCTGTCCACAAACACACAAAGTGTTTTTTTTTGGGTTTTTTTTCACTTACTAGTCTGTGTTTCTGTGTAAACAGACTGAAGTACATCTGTCAGTGTGTCCAAATTTTCGCCTTTGGCTCCGCCCAAACCTTAATGCTGCAATGTGATTGGTCCGCTCGCCTGATTAACCATACAGCAGATGTGTCTCAACATGGATTCTGGAGAGTTTGAGAACTCACAGAGACTTACAGAATCCATCTTGCTGTGCGAGATCACTTCTAATCAGCATTGTTGCACCATTTTGAGACTGTATTTTACGCATGCTGTACCTGATATTCAAATGTTGATTATCTTCAAAACAATGTTTATGAGTCACGATCAATAATTCAATATATTCTTCACCTCCATTTAACATAATATTTGTATCAGCTAAAAAATGCCCCTCACCTTTGACCCTGAGCTGTGAGGAGGTTTTAGATCGTCCCACAAAGAACATGACCTGCCCTGTGTCCTGGGGCATGGTGTTGACAAAGACCAGGATGTGGGTGCGTCCGAATGACTTGAGGATGGTCTGATGGGTCTCTCTCAGCTCCACTCCATCTTTGTACCAGTGAATGTCCATCTCCTCCTTCTCCACCTCCACACAGAACGCCGCGTTCTCCCCCTCCAGAACGTCCACTTTGCGAGGGAGCTTCCTCACTATGGTGCCTGTGTGAGAAAAGAGAGTGGTGTATCCTCCTAAGACCTGGCGTCCACATGTGTGCACATATATGTCCAACACATTTTGGGTTGTTCAGGTTTTTGCAACAGTTTTTGCAAATCATGATTCAATTGTGAGTTTATTCTGTTCCATCAAAATGATCAAAACATAAAATGAAGGTTTTATATCAAATGTGGACATATAAATATACAAATATAATTCTTTGTTTTTGCATTCATCAGGTTCCAATCAGCCCAAATAACAAAGAGAAATCAATAAAGTCATGCAAGAGTTCAGGTCTTAGGAAAAAGTGTCTGATCTTTGGACTGGTCGTGTAAGTGGGCCTGACCTTTGACAGCGACCTCGGCGATGCTCCTCCCCCCATCGGGCATCTCACACAGGTAGATCCCATCGTCGTCTACCCCGATGTCCCTGATGGTCAGTCTCCTCTTGGTGCCCCACTGCTCCATGTCATACTTGGCTCCGGGCTGCAGCCGTCGGTCCTCCAGGTACCAGGTGATGGGCACTGAGTCCTCTGGTACCTCACACTCCAGAACCGCCAGGTCCCGCTCCCACACCTCCAGGTCGATGAGTGGCTGTTTGAACCGCACCGGTGGCTCTGACAGCAGAGGACACAATGAAAGACTCAGTCATACTGTTTGTTTAAGTCTGTTACAGAGGGGCAGACACTTCTGTGGAGTATTAACTGTAACACAACATATTGAGATCACCACGTTACCTTTTTATTTATTTTTTTGAAAATGCCATAAGCTGGAAATAATGTATTAACATATTTTATAAGTTTCAATTTAATTTTCGGTCAGAGTCCCCCCTCCCTTTGCTCTCTGCACTCCCCCTTCAGAGCACTAGCATAACACAATCAGCGTGCATCTTGCTAATAAAACTACTGAATATTGGATTGAGTTTGTGAAGTTGTAGTGTTTTGTTTTACATCATCGTAAAATCCCTCAGTCGTCCAGGTAGGATCCATGGCAAAGGAGAAATTCAATTCTGTCAACTGGATCCATTGTTTTTTATCAAATATGTTTCACAGCTCATCCAAGCTGCTTCTTCAGTTCTGTTTCCAGTTTTCTTACCAATTTGAGAGTGGCTGGCCCATTGTTGTTCTCAAGATGTTTGCAAAATCCCTCAGTCGTCCAGGTAGGATCCAGAGCAAAGGAGAAATTCAATTTGACAGTTGACGGTATTGAGTTTCTCCTTTGTTATGTTTTGTATCATGTTTTTTCTATATTTATGGAAAATCGTCGTGTGGCAGCATGGTTGACGTAGGCTTGTGGCCGGAGCACTGTACAGGAGAGATCACTAGATTATTCAAACATTGCCTGGGAAATTCAGACTCTGCATATTTTTATACAGACTGATACCAGTCTGGTTACCACTATGTTCTTTAAGACCAACGCACACTACAGTGTAATTCACACGTCAACATCACGACACGCATCATGACTTATAGATGAGCGTTTTATCTGCAGATTACTTATATGATGGGAGACAGAGTGCGAGACTGTGAGAGCAGAGGAAAGGTGCTGGTTTGACGAGGTTATAATGAGTTTAGTGAGAGTCTCCACATGGAGAGAAGTGGGAGAGAAACTGGTGTTCTGCAGAGTTGAACCACGAGGTTTTCCCTGGTTCTGCTGCAGTTCTCATGCCTCTGTTCAAAGTTTAAATCACTTCTTTTGTCCTTTTGATTCAAATAACTCCACTCAAGGCATGGGGTCAAGTCCCCAGTGTGTGCAGAGCGCCCGGTGTGTGCAGAGCACCTTGTGTGTGCATTCTTACAATTTTGCCACCTCGTCGAAGCACCTCAGTGTGCGACACTGTAGAAAGCTCCAAAAATGACATTTAGAGTGATACCCCCTTTTAAAACATGCCAGTGTCACTGCTGTCAGTAAAGTGTCATTTTAAAGCACCTCACATAAGAGACCAAGACACCAAGACCCACCCACACCCAGAGCCAGACCCCGAGTCAGACCCAGAGCCAGACCCCGAGCCAGACCCAGAGTTCGACCCTGAGACGGTCTCTGGAGAGAGCCTGACCACAGCACAGACAGTGATGACAGCCGCCTCACAGGCTCTGAGCTGATGTTTTTAGTTGAGTCTTAAATGTGGATTTCTGTGGATCATGTGAGAAACTCGACCCTGCTGCACCGAGTCTGCTGAGCTCTGAAGAGGTCTGAGTGAAGCAACACTTTAAAATAAACACACACGCTTGCAAAGCCTTCGCGCAATGCAGGTTTGTCCTCTGTATTTGACCAATTCTTCTGTGTCTCTGGGTCACACGTGTCAGGAGCAGTGGGACCCATCTCCAGATCTTGACCTGGTCTTGGTCAGGACTAACTTATCTGGAACCAGAGTGCCCAGAGGAAACCCTCCCAGACACAGGTAGAATATGCAAACTCCACACAGAATGTCCTAAGAGTCGAACCTGGAGTCTTGCTGTGAGATGAGAGTGTTAACCACCACACAGCCAATGAGCAGGTTAATGTTTAAGCCGGGTCACACAGTGTGGTGCACTTTGAGGCTGCTCCTGTAGCTACTGAGACTTTTTTCTGAAAGTAGAAAGTACATTTTTTTGCAGTCTGATTCTTGAAAATACTGTGATGTCTGTTTGTGACTCATTAAAAGCATTGGTTTGTGACAGGATCACGGTTAACACTCTACAACTAAACATTAGAACTTTGACTCTTTTGGACGGATTTCAGATTTCTGACCTGTAGTCCCTGAATGCTCTTGAAGTCTGGTCTAATAAGGCTGGTAAACCCTGGTTATCTGCAGATTTTGTGCAGAGTTTGGATCAATAGGTTTTGTCCAGGGCTGAAGTGGGCGTGGTACTTGGGGGTACACTGTCCACCCACTTCTCCTGACGTCAGATATAAAGAAATAACAAATATAAATTAGCTACAACTTGTCAAACCATTGTCAAGGTCAAAACGGAGCGACTGGCAGTGATGAAAACAACCTGCATAGGCTCATGAAATCTGCACTACTGTCCTATAGTGACCTGAACCAGGACTGAACCAGGACTAAAACAGGACTAAACCAGGACTAAACCTGGACTTAGTGTCAGGACAGGCCCAGAGGTGCACCCACATAGACTGTCAGTTGACCACAGGCGAAAGGACCGGTGCAGAGCTCCATACCCGACGGGGCTAAGTGCAGCCATCACCCACTTGGCAGACGCCTTGCTCCACGGACTCTCTCACTCTCAAGTCCGAGATTAGTCCTGGTTTAGTCCTGGTTCAGGTGTTGTAGTCTGTGATTTATGTTCTGTAGGTGATTATTAATGGGGTTAATGTTAGTAACCTGATTCTGCATCATTTTGAGTGAAAAAAAACAAAAAAAACCCCAGCAAATATTACAGATTTTTTTGTTTTGTTTTGTTTTAAGGTAGGTGGGTGGGCAGGATTCATCACATCAATGACATCACAAATCATGTACCCCCACTTCAAAAATCTCCACTACACCACTGGTTTTGTATTTGAGGTTCCATGTTCCCTTCCTGCTCCCAGTTGAGAGCGCAGAGGGCATGTTGTTTATCACAGTTGGACGTCTCTCTGGTTCAGACCTGAGCAGCTGCAGTGACACACTGAACCTCACACTGAGCACAGAAACAGGATCTGTCTTTACTCTGCACACAGTCCTTCTGCCAGTGACGATCAGGACTATAAATATGGTTTTGTAAAGAGAACTAAAGACCTTGGTCAGGTTTGAACTTAACCAGGCCCCTTCTCTTGTTTTCATGTTACACAACAACAGAAAAACAACTCTGTGGGACAGTCTCAGGCAGTTGCTTTCAATAGCATCCCTAATTGGGTAACAGCTCATACATAGTTGGAGTGTGACTTAGTGGTTCTCAATAAAGTGTCTAAAATGTTTTGAAAATTATATGCAGTCTCTTTTATGATACAGACAGTGCAGGGGAATAACTGAATGTACCCAAAGTACATATTCTAAATACTAATTTTAACTGCATTCCAGTTTAGTTACGCTTTTATTTGGTGATATTCTCAATAGTTAAGGATATAGTTATAGGGAAACTTGGTACTTGATTTGATAGTGTTTTTGTCACTGTAATATGATGTAACTTGGTGTAAAAGTATTGAAATTATTTGGAACTACAGTGCTTGTGTTTGCTCTATAGTTATAATCTATGATGCCTGTGGATCATGGTGTTATAATTTGAACTTTTTAAATCACACTATTTATCTAAAATGACTTCATTAAAGTATGGACAGCAGCATACTAGTGAGCAGAGCATTTTTCTTACATTTGTACCAAAATGACACAACGCTGCCAAATCCTACGTGTATCACTGATTAAGAAAATAAAACTGCAGAAGGAAGAGTGTACGTCACAGTAGGTATGAAAGTGTGAGGAGCAGCAGCTCTACTCTGAGGGAGTAGAGTATCTCTAAGGGAGTGCCCAGTCACCCTGCAGAGGAAACTCATTTGTGCCACTTGTATCTGCGATCTTGTCGTTTCGGTCATTACCCAAAGCTCATGACCATAGATGAGGGGAGGAACGGAGATTGGGCAGATGCAGATGCTGCACTAATCCACCTGTCAATCTCACATCCTCCCCTCACTGGTGAACAAGACCCCGAGATACTTGATTTTCTCCACTTGAGACAGGGACTCTCCACCCCCCCAGAGAGGACAAGACACCTTTTTCCTGGTGAGAACCATGGCCTCAGATTTGACTTCACACTCAGCTGCAAACTGTCCCAGTGCATGCTGCAGGCTGCTGGCTTGTTAAAACCATCAGGACAACACTGTCTGCAAAAAGCAGAGATGATTCTGTGGTCCCCAAACCGGACCCCCTGTGGTCCCTCACTGCGTCTAGAAATTTTGTCCAATACAGTGTTATTATGAACAGAACCGGTGACAAAGGGCAGCCCTGGTGGAGTCCAACATGCACCGGGAACAGGTCTGACTTACTATCTGCATATGGTGTCATGAAAATAAGTGATTCAATATGACTCAAACATGCACATGACCAAATACAACTTCAGAGGGTCAACTGTGAGAGCAAACAACTAGAACATGGTTAAAAGCTCTGAAGTCCATTTTGCAGAATAGTTCTGCTTTAAAAGTAGTAATATTAAGATTGCATTCTGGGATTTTATTATTGAGAAAGAAATCATAAAATGACACTGTGACAGAATATCACATGTAAAATACACCAGAACACACACATTTGCATAATGAATCCAAATTTGACCCCTTTTTATGCAACCCTGTTTTATTAAATATATTGTATGGAATATAGAACTCAGCCTCAACAGTTTGAGTGCTCTGTGAATTGGAATAATCAAACAGTTTAATCAGATGTACATGTGTGTGTTATTGTGTGCGCCCCTGGTGGTGGTGGTGTGGCTCAGTGTGACGTGTGGCTCTTTATGACAGCTCATGGCTCTTTGCCTCTGACCAGTTAGCCCCCTCTGCTCTACTCCAATATTAGTCCAATATTTGAGAGCCACTGAAAAATAGATTTTATTGGTGTGACTCAAAGTGCCAGCCACTCTGTCTTGGCAGTCCCTGTCAGTCCCTGCCAGTCCCTGACGCTGTGGTGAAGTCATAGTGTCAGACTGAGATCAGGTGGAATGATAGAAACTTGACTCGAAGCTCTTCTCGTCCTCTCACTGTTTACTCTGTGAAACTGGAGCTGCCATTTACAAATAAAACTTTATGATATCTAATGCTGCATCTGATCTTCAGAGTCCAGGCACAGCAGTGGGGCGCTAACCCGGTTCTACTGGGAGGAAATGTACCACCGTGGGCCTTTAACTCAGTTCTCAATATGACAAAATGTTCCACAGTGGGACTTTAAGTGTAGTAATGTAGTGTCCTCCTCAGAAACATCCATGGAGTTGGTGAAGAAAAAATTCAGTTTGTCGACTGGACAAAAGTTAGTTTGGTTGAAGACGTGTCTCAGCTCATCCAAGCTGCTTCTTCAGTTCTGGTCAGACGCTGTGGACACTTCCTTATATCTGCAGGGAGGAGCTAACTACACTGAAACTACCACAAACACTTGTTTACAGTTTCTGTTTGTTAGTTGGGCCTGTTGACCTGTACAGAGTGTGGGGTCTAATTAGTAGAACAATTCATGGCCATAATGGAGCTTCCACACCTCTGGACCTGACATGGATACACCTGTTGTTCTCTTGTTTGTTTTGAATTAAGTTTGAGGATGGAGTTGTAAATAGGAGACAGATGGTGTCTGAGTCTCCATTTCTGTTTAGAGAAGGATTCTCTTTCTTAACAAAAATGGCTTCTTTCACTTCCCTCTCAAACCAGTTCTTTTCTCTGGCTAAAATCTGTACCTCGCTGTCCTCAAATGAGTGGCCTGTGGCTTTTAAGTGGAGATGTACAGAAGACTGAGGTCCACTGCTGCTCTCTCGTCTGTGTTGGTTCATCCTCTTGTGAAGTAGCTGTTTAGTTTCTCCAGTGTAGTGTTCACTGCAGTCTTCACTGCACTGAATGGAGTAGACCACATTGCTTTGTTTGTGGCTCGGTGTTTTGTCCTGATCAGAACTGAAGAAGCAGCTTGGATGCAAAACGTCTTCAAACAAACAAACTTTTATCCAGTCGACAAACTGAATTTTCTCCTCGCCATGGATTCTACCTGGACGACTGAGGGATTCTTCACACATCCATGGAGTTGTGTTTTGTTTCATTCACAGTGTGAGGGAAAATATAAAATAACTCTTAAAACTAGTGTTTAACTGCTTTTTTTAAATTTTCCTTCGTCAATGCTGATTCTGATTTTTAAAAGTGTCAGTTAAGGTCTGCTGATATTTTTGGGTAGACTGTATTATTTAATTATTTTCCCTAAACTCTGTAATTTTAATTTACTACAAACTCACCCACAGCCCTTTTTTTTTTTTTTTTTTTTTTAACCACAAGCTTTTCAGAGCTCTGTAGACACGTTTTGTGCAGTTTTTTCTTCACAAATATGTTTTCAAATAAAGTTTTGTGTGTAGTGTCCTAATGTAGTGTTCTCACACAGACCTGGATTGTGTTTTGTTTCATTCACATGTTTAACACACAAACCCACATTTAGGTGGTTCCACTTGGTGATGTCATGTGGTAATACAGGAAGCTCTCCAATGTGTTTTTAAACTTCAGATATACAGACAGATATGGCTGCAGGTAAATCTGAGTGGTCTGAGGCTGCAGAGCTGAGTACAGTTTGACAGGAGGACTCAGGGAGGGTCAGCAGATCCTGTGAGACAACCAAAAGTGTTCCTCCTTTGTGTCCTGCAGCATCACAGCAGCCTCCAGGGGAACCAGGTGAACACAAGAGGAAAGACCTCATTCTTACTCCACTCTGATGGGCCTTTCCCTCAAAGTGTTTCCTCTGGAAGATCTTCATTTGTTGCCACATATGGTGTAAAACGCCTATAACATCTCAAATGTCAAATACTTAAACTCCACACACTTTCGCTAGAATCATTTGGATCATTTCAGCCCTGGAATTGCCTGAACTAAAGATAAAAGGAGCTGTTAAGGTGAAAACTACCACTTCATGACATACCAAGGTGGAACAGAGCATTTTGAGCTTTGGAGAGAAACACTCTATGGCTACGTTCACACTGCAGCCTGAAGTGACCCAAATCTGATTTTGGCCCCTGTGTGACCTGTATCTGATCTTTTAATGACAGTCTGAACCACACAGATCCGATTTTTTCAAATGTGACCCAGGACACTTGGATATGTGCTCCTGAAACCAATACATATCTGATCTTTTGACATGTGACTTCAGTCTGAACGGCCAAGGCGCATTCATCCACCTACACATTATCAACAAGACACAAATGTACACAAACTTTTTTCTTGTCATACGAAAATTGTTAATGAACTCCGTGTCACTGAAGTGAAGAACATCACCACTCACCACTCTTGGCTATGTCTCCACATCCACACGTTCCTTTCAACGTTCTGTCCCACAAAACACCACGGCCAAAAACCTCGTCCTTCTCCTTCTCAATCTCCTCCTTAAAACAAGTAAGTTGTTCATGTTCTGACTTCGGTACGAGCGGAACTTTAAAATCTCCAGGTGCTCAATGCTGCGTCCATGTTTGGACAACTTCTGTAAACACAGAGACGCTCACTGCGGTTGACGTCGTCGTGTCTCCAGTGCACATGTGGGACACTTTTGGGCCATTTAATGTTCACACTGGAGTCACATACAAGTCACATTTAATTGGAAATGTGAACGACCTCGCAAAAACATCGGATTTCACTAAGAAAATCTGAATTGAGCATTAAGCCCTGCAGTCTGAACGTAGCCTAATAATAAAGAGTTACTCAAACGTGCGAATGAAACAAAACACAACTGCAGCTCTGTTTTTTAAAGAAGTAACAACACTCTAGTTGCAGTTTGGTGTAATCTAGGACCTTTAAGCAGCAAGTCAGATAATATCAGACTTTGCTGGAGATTTAAGGCCAATGGCTGATGAGCTAAAAAGAGCACTGATACATCAAACCTGTTTAAATGAGAGATTCTATGACACCAGCAGAGTGTTACCTTTGACAGACAGGTGCACGGCGCTCAGAGTCTGTCCGGCCGTGTTGGACGCGGCGCAAACGTACACTCCATTATCCTTCTGTTTACAGTACAACACTTTGAGCGTGAAGTACCCCTCTCTGTCCTCGTACAACAGGTACCTCCTCCCGGACAGGATCAGACGACCATCTTTCCTCCAGATAATCTCCGGCTTCGGTTTGCCCGTTACAAAACACCTGAACTTAGCGTGCTTTCCTTCCGTCACCGCAAACATTTTCACTTTTGCTGTTTTCGTCATCGTATCGTTTAAGCGGTTCGGCGCCGGTCGACCGCTGCGTCCCGGGATAGGTTTCCAATGTCCGTTTGTGTATCCGTTTCTGTTCGCTTCATCATCGTGTCCGGGCCCCGCGTCCACCAATAGCACGGCCCCAGCTAACGCTTCGCCAAACTCATTCCTCGCTTTGCAAGTATAAACTCCACCGTCCGGCGCTCGTGTTTTGAAAATCTTCAGCTGAAACCACCCGCCATCTTGTGAGCCAACGCTAAAATGAGTACTTTCGAAAATCTCGTTTAGTTTTTTGCCATCTTTCTCCCAAACAACATCGGGTTTAGGGTTGCCCCAAATTTTACAGGAGAAAACAGCATCCTCTCCACGTCCAGCTCGCGTCGACAGAGGTTTGATGAGAAAGCGTGGCTTGTTTTCCTCTCGTAGCTCCATCTCCTGAGCCTCTCCTTCCACCTTGAGTGTAGCCGCCGCATAGGTCTCCCCGATGCTGTTTTTGGCTTTGCAGATATACTGTCCGCTGTCCTCGATCGTGACAGAAGTGATGATCAGGTTGTAAACGTTCCCGTCTTCGAACACGCGATATCGTCCTTGGGGGTCAATCTTCTCGTTGTTGCGTTCCCAGATGACGGCCGGTCTGGGGTCTCCTCCGATCTGACACTTGAGGACGGCGTCGGTGCCGCTCTGGACCAGCACCGGGCGAGGGTAGGCCAGGAACCGCGGAGCTCCCCCGAACACGTCCATCCTGGGGCGAGCAGAGTGGCAGGAGGAGAGGGGGCGCTGGAGGAGGGGGTCTGTGAGGGCCTGGAAAAGAGGAACAAGAAAAGTCTCATGAAAAGTGCTATGTTTATTTGACAACTGACTTTGCAGCTGATCTCATCAAGATTCTCTGATAGGACGAGCAGAGTTTCAAAATTTTAAATTGGGATTCTCCAAGGTTGGGGTGGTTGGTATAAATAAAATAGTGAAAAGTGCATGAAACATTGTACATTCATAACTCACGTGTGTTTATTTATGGTCAAGCATGGTTTTCTGTATTTTAGCTGAACACATGAATGTAGTGCACTCTTTACTGTTGGTGAGGATCAAACAGGCTCACAAACCAGGAAGACGTTTGGAAAGATGCAACTGCAAAAACAAAAATCTAGCCAAGTTAAGAAGACTTGAATTAAGAAAGTTTTATCATGATTTGAGTAAATTTCACTTGACAAGTAAAATGATCCACCAATGGAACAGGAAATTTTGTATTTAAAATATCAAAATACATCTTGCTACACTTAAGATAAGAAAAACAAAAACTTCCATCCATCTGTTTTCTTCCACTTATCTGAGGCCAGGTCACAGGGGCAGCGGTCTAAGCAGGGACTCCCAGACTTCCTTCACCCCAGACATGTCCTCCAGCTCCACCGAGGTGTTCCCAGGCCAGCTGAGAGACATAGTCCCTCCAGCGTGTCCTGGGTCTTCCCTGGGGCCTCCTCCCGGTGGGACATGCCCACAGGCAATAGGAACAGATGCCCTCCCCTCAGCTGCTCCTCTCCACGTGGACGAGCAACAGCTCTACTCTGAGCTCCTCTCGTGTGACTGAGCTCCTCATCCTATCTCTAAGGGAGCATCCAGTCACCCTGCAGAGGAAACTAATTTCGGCCACTTGTATTCGCAATCTTGTTCTTTCAGTCATTACCCAGAGCTCATGACCAGAAGTGAGGAGAGGTAAATCAAGAGCTTTGCCTTTCGGTTCAGCTCCCTCTTCACCACAACGGTCCAATACAGCGACCGCACCATTACTGACGCTGCACCGATCAATCTGTCAATCTCACGTCCTCCCCTCACTCGTGAACAAGACCCTGAGATACTTGAACTCCTCCACTTGAGGCAGGGACTCTCCACCCATCCAAGAGGACAAGCCACCTTTTTCTGGTCGAGAACCATGGCCTCAGACTGGAAAGAGCTGATCCTCATCCCAGCCGCTTCACACTCGGCTGCAAACTGCCCCAGTGCACATTGCAGGTCCTGATTTGATGAAGCCAACAGGACAACATCATCTGCAAACAGAAGAGATGATCCTGTGGTCCCCAAACCGGACCCCCTCTGGTCCCTGACTGCGTCTAGAAATTCTGTCCATAAATATAATGAACAGAACCGGTGACAAAGGGCAGCCCTGACAAAAACTTTTTGCACTTAAAATGAGAAACAAAATCGAATGTTGCTTGAATTAAGACAAACACACTTCCACACACAGTTCCTTTAGTAGATCATTTTACTTGTAATGTTGAATCTACTCAAATAAAGTCAATTATTCTTTACAGAAGTCATTTTAACTTGCCTAGATATTGTTTTTTGCAGTGTACAACTTCCTTTGGGCTCTGTTCGCAGTAGTAAGCCTGGCAAAATGTAAGAAATGACAAAATGTCCCAGTTTTCTTCATCTCCATGTCATTGTAGTGTTCTCTTCTATTTAACTAATCAACAATTCCAACGATACCTCAAATGAGTCATGTGGTTTTAAATTTCATTTCTGGAAAATGTAAACAAATGTGTCAAAGCTGAATTAAACACATTATAATGTCAAACGGGCTGATGTGGCTCTACAGTATAAAAAATGTATTTATACAGAAGATTTGAATGAATAATCTGCTGCAGTGTAGAACTTGGACAATAGTGTTTGGAAACATCGGGCTTGATCTGCAGTGGATTGTGGAAGACCTCAGAGCTCTTCACGCTAGTGAGGAACATGGATCTATTAAAATAAAGAACCTCAGGAGCTTCCTGTGCTGAAGGAGCTCATGGATCTGGTGATCATACAATTAGAGTTAATGCAAAGATGAGCTCGAGCTGAGTTTTATTTTTGAATGAAAAGAAGAAAATATCAAACATATCAACATCAAACCCACGTCTGTAATCCAAAGAAACATGTTGTCAAACTGGGGAGATCAGGGTCAGGGTTTGGCTTTATTGGACTTGTACAACTGTAAACAGAAAAACGTAAGGTTGTTTATTTCGATGGGGCAGCCAATTTCGACAGAAACGTATGACCATAGATAAGCAGTGGCTGATCTCAGGTCTGTCATATGTTTTAGATGTTGTGCAGAGTGAGCCAAACAGTGAAACAGTGGTGGTTCTAGGATTTTTCTGAAACAGGGGCCATTAAGGGGCCACATGATACATTCAGGGGCCAAGTGCAGGGAACATCCAAGCACACAAATGATAGACACTAAAATAAAAGCCCTCCACAGGTCTGTTTCGACATAATAGATCTACTGCTGCCAAGAGTTTGGGGCTGGAACTGCATCAGTGATCATTGAACTCTCCAGTTGTCCTCCTTGTCAGTTGATTGACAGAACAGAGGCACTTTAGGGGCCATTCAGATTAGAGGTGGGGCGAGGACTCTTGTGGCCCCTCCCCTAGAACTGCCCCTGCCCTCAAACATGTGACCAACAGGACCATCTCCCCCAGATTCACTTTTTTACGCACTTTTACAAACTGTGGCCTCTGCTAACCTGTACACACACACACCACACACACGCACACACACACACACACACACACACACACACACACACACACACACCAGCACACGCAGCCTCTGCTCTGTTCCACCACTGATGACGTGCACACTGTGACTGTGAGCTGACTAACATTTAAGGGTCAGTCTCCAGGAAATGAATAGAAGTGTGTGTGTACATGTGAGTGTGTGTGGTGGTGAGTACCTGTGTGCATGTGTGCGTGTGTATGTGTGTGTTTGTGAGAGAGAGACTGTGTGTAGTTCCCTGTGAGAGTGAGTGGTCTGAGCAGCTGGTGCTGTATTTCAATGAAGAGCTTTTTATAGGATCCTAAATAAAGACGAGGAGAGTCGGGTGGCACAAAGTACAACCCCACGCTCTCTCTCTCTCTCTCTCTCTCACGTCCTCCCCCGTCTCTCCTCTCTACTCTCTTTCTCTTTACTTTATCTCCCCCCATTCCCTCTCTCTCTCTCTTCTAGCTGTGCTCAGAGAAAATCTCATTGGAGAGTTGACAAGACAATGGACTCATGTGTAAAACACTTACGCCAACAATGTGACTTTACTGCCAGGGTCAGCGACCCAGACCAGGACTAAAACAGGACTAAAACAAGACTAAACCAGGACTAAAACAGGACTAAACCAGAACTAAACCATGACTGAAGCAGAACAGAACCAGAACTAAACCAAGGACTACCCCAAGGTCTAACTATAGGTCTAAGCGAGGTCTAGACAGAACAGTAAAACTTGATCCTGAGCAGGAACAGCTTATGTCTGTGTTAATTAGGCTCTAAACACACAGAGCACATGTGATTCTGCACAAGTACCAGACTCCGCCCACTCCCAAACACTGCTTCTCACGTCTGACTGTCACAAGATCAGACTCGGTTTTTCAGGGACAGTTCTGTGGATTTTATGGCAAAGTAAAAGTCTTTGCACGATTAATGATACAACTCTGGACTTACACAGGACTGAAGCAGGTCTAAACGAGAACTAAACCAGGACTAGACTAAACCAGAACTAAACTAAACCAGGTCTAAACCAGGATTAAACTAAACCAGGTTTAAACCTAGATCCAAATCTGATCCAAATCAGGGCTAAAACAGGACCAAAATCAGGACTAAACCAGGACAAAACCAGGACCAAAATCAGGACTAAACCAGGACCAAATTCAGGACTAAACCAGGACTAAACCAGGACTAAACCAAGACTAAACTTAGATCTAAACCTTATGCAAACCAGAGCTAAAACAGGACCAAAATCAGGACTAAACCAGGGTTAAATCAGGACAAAACCAGGACCAAAATCAAGAATAAACAGGACTAAATCAGAACTAAACCAGGACCAAAATCAGGACTAAACCAGGACTAAACTAAAATTAAACAGGGACTAAAGATACAAAGCTCCTCTTGCAGTGGAATTTTCATGACACAATTTTAAGGTGAATTCAAATGTTTACAGTGTAACTTAGAATTAAAACTCAAATTCAACAAATTCTCAATACATGTGTTTGTCGTGACACTTTTGATGCATAAATATGTTAAAAAAAGTTTTTAAAGGCTCATATGACTCTATTTTCTGATCTGTTCTAATGTCGTTTCCTCTTCACAAATACACGTGGAGTAGTGTTTTGTTTCATTCACATGTTTAACACACAAAAGAAGAAGAACTTCTGTCAGACTTAAAACACTCTGTTCCACCTTGTGATATCATATGGTAACACAGGAAGTGCTTCCACTGTGTTTTTTAAACTCCACACTCCTTCACTAGAAACATCTGGATCATTTCAGACCTGGAACTGACAATCTCAACTAAGCAAGAGGTGAAGCTGCGTTTCACTTTGGCTACGTTTACACGGAAACGAATCACCAAATCATCAACGATTTGTGTCCAGAGATGTCATTTCTGTGTCTGCAAGTCTTCCCTATCCACACAGCTTTGAGCACATTTGTTTACGTTTTACGGAAAACTTAAAACCTGATGACTCATTTACAAAAATGAAGCGCTCAAAAATCAGCTCACTATTGTGCACTGATCCATTTCAGCTTCTGTTGGACTAAAGGACACGACTCAGTGGAATGTGAGTGTTCTTTCTGTGACAGAGGGGTGTTCTGCTGATGGTGAGTCTGTTCTGTGTTTCTGTCGTGTTGGAGATGGTTCATGTGAAACTTTTCAGAGATTATACGTCTGCAGGTCGTACACACACACACACGTTTATATGAATGGACATATATTCTAGCCTCTTAGT